CTCGCGGAAACTGTCCATGCGGACAGAGCTAAGTTCTGCAAGATCCGCCGCAGAAGAACACAAAAAATCTCCGATTACACTCTTAATCTCATGGCTGTTAGACGGGAGATGAAGCTACATTCTTCAACAGACTTGACAGCATACAGGCATCTGAACAGACGGATCTCCAAATGCATGCGGCGGGACTTACGCAACTTCAATACAGCTCGTATTGAAGAAGCGATCGAGCGGAACCAAGGCTCCAAAGTCTTTGCCAGAGATCTGTCTGCCAGAAAGAGTCAACTGTCAAAGCTGAAGACCGAGTGTGGCAGCATCGTTTCCGGGACACCTCAGATTTTGAGTGAAATTGAGAGGTTCTATGAGCAGGTGTACACGTCATCGTTGGAGCCACACGCAAGTGTGAGTAACGATCCAAGAGCGAGTCTTATCCGACACTATACCGATGATATCCCGGACGTTAGTCTGAGCGAGATTAGAATGGCTTTCTAGCACCTTAAAAACGACAAGGCCCCAGGCGAGGATGGAATTACAGCGGAGCTTCTGAAAGCGGGTGGAAAACCGGTACTTGAAGTCCTTCAGAAGCTCTTTAATTCCGTCCTCCATGGTGGCATTACACCGGAGGCGTGGAGCAGAAGTGCGGTGGTCTTATTCTTCAAGAAAGGGGACAACGCTCTCTTGAAGAACCACAGACCAATTTCCCTTCTGAGCCGCTGTCTACATGCTGCTTTCAAGAGTCATTACGAATCATCTCGCGCGTAGACTTGACGAGTTCCAGCTTCCGAACAAGCCGGTTTCCGATAGAGCATTAGCACCATAGACCATATACATACCCTTCAGCAAATTCTACAGAAGTCCAAGGAGTAAAATTTGCCACAATGTCTGGCGTATGTAGACTATGAGAAAGCCTTTGATTCCGTCGAAATTTGGGCGGTGCTGCAGTCCCTTCAGCAGTGCCAAGTTGACTGTCCGTACATCGAAGTGCTGAAGTGTTTTTACAGTAGAGCTACGATGGCTATCAGAGTACATAACCAGAGTACGAAACCTATACAATCGCAGAGAGGTGTAGGACCGTGTGATATTATATCCCCGAAACTCTTCACTTCTGCATTGGAAGACGTTTTTAAGCTTCTGGACTGAAAAGGATACGGTATTAACATCAATGGCGAGTACGTCACTCATCTTGGATTTGTCGACGATATAGTCCTTATGGCAGAATCGCTGGAGGACCTAAGCACCATGCTCAATGACCTCAATAGTGTCTCCCAACGAATAGGTCTTTGGATGAACATCGACAAAACAAAGATCATGTTTAACGTCCATGTCACACCTATGCCGGTAGTTGTTGGGAGCACTAATCTCGAAGTTGTTGAAGAGTATGTTTACCTAAGACAAATAGTCCGACTAGGTAAGTCCAACTTCGACCGAGAGGTCAATCGACGGATTCAACTCGGTTGGACAGCGTTCGGGAAACTACGACACATTTTCTCGTTAGACATACCTCAAAACCTGAAAACGAAATTGTACAACCAATGCGTGTTGCCAGTGATGACTTACGGATCTGAAACGTGGTCCTTCACTGCTGGCCGTATGAGCGAGCTATGGAGAGGGCTATGCTCGGGGTTTCTCTGCGTGATAAACTTATAAATGAGTATATCCGCAGTAGAACCAGAGTTACTGACATAGGCCAACGGATTAGTAAGCTGAAGTGGCAGTGGGCCGGCCATACAGCTCGAAGAACCGACAACCGCTGGGGAAGAAAGATTCTCGAGTGGCAGCTTCGTACCGGTAGGCGAAGTGTACGGCGACCCCCCACGAGATGGAGTGACGACCTGGTAAGACATGCAGGAAGTCGATGGATGCAGGTGGCTCAGGACCGTGCTTTGTAGCATTCCTTGGGGGAGGCCTATGTTCAGCAGTGGACTTATGAAAGGCTGTAATGATGATGATGAATAATATTATGTTCTCGAAATTCTTCGAAGTTGCTCGAACCACCTTCGTATAATTTCTCTCATGAGGGGGGGAGGAGTTAAGGCTGAGCACCCCTGCCAAATCTCATTCGTTCGCACATCATCAGCAATTCCATCTGGGTCAAATGTGTGCAGTAAATAAGCTTAGTAAATAGTTTTGTTACATATAACTTAAGTATATATAGACAATTGTAATCAGTTCAAGTTGCAAAAATTGTGTTGGACACGCACAGATTCCATTCCAAGCATACTTCAAACAGGCTTCTCCCATTTTCATTCACTCTCTCGTCCACAAACGTACCCAGAACTCCCTCATACCCATCATGCTTTACTCCAACCCACCCATTAAAGTCCCCTAACATCACGATCCGTTCATTTTCTCCGCATTTATTCAAGACCTCTCCCATGCTATCCCGAAATTCCTCTCTCTCTCTTGTTGGGATTTTAATGACACACCTCCACGCAGATCCGTCGCTGCATAGACCCCAGGATAAACAAGTGAGTGAGTCCGACTTTTAACCTCATCCAGAGGAGTCTTGGGCTCATACATTCATGCTCCATCACACATTCAACTATTCGAGATGAAAGAATCACACCAACTCCCTGACAGTCTCGGCTGGTTTGAGGGACTCCCGACCAGTATGCCGTGTAGGGGCTATGAACCGTGGTGTCACATCCTTTCCTCTTGGTTTCGTTCACGCACAGAATATCTATGCATAGTTCATCCATCATCTGACATACTTCATCTACCTTACCATCCATTCCTCCTCTTACATTCAACGTAACGAAGCGGCTCTCCGTGGGTCACTTTTCGGCCCCGCAAGAAAAGAGACGTGATGGGTGGCGAACCACATCGCCGCCATTTTGGTTCATTAAATTATTTTTATGATTATCCATTGCGTTCCCACGAATAGCGAGGGAAAGGTTTGTCCTCCCAGCAGAGCCCCGCATGGGAAATAGGAAATGTAGAATATTACCGCCCAGGAGGGCAAGGGATAGAACAGTAATAGCTAGGGAAGCCGGGGTCGCATACCCGTATACTATAGCACAACTACTGGACGGGTAAATTGGGATGAGTATCCTATGACTTTTGCAGTGAATTTAATAATACTTTTATTTCTGAAACATTCTCCTTGAACAGTTGGAAGTCATTCAATGGATAGGCGACAGTAGGAGTCTATAAGAGCAGACATAGTTTATATGATTTTTACCATGATTCTCGATTGCTTCTTCAATACAAGCTGTATTCAAGTTGCCTTAGTCTCGCCGCATGCATTTGGAGATCTGTCTGTTCAGTTGCCTGTATGCTGTCAAATCTGTTGAAGAATGTAGCTTCATCTCCCGTCTAACAGCCATGAGAGAGTGTGATCGGAGAGTTTTGTGTTCTTCTGCGGCGGGTCTTGCAGAACTTAACTCCGACCGCATGGACAGTTTCCACGAGCTTGTCATTCATATCGTCCACTTCACTGTACAGATTACTATTATGAGATTTAAACTTATGGTCCGTACACTGATTTTACTTGTTACTGAGAATTTTGTATCTATTTCGTTATCACTAAATTTAGCACTATTTATTAGCTATTTCATATCACTGAAGTCCACGTTTCTTAAGTCTAACTGTTTTGCTTCTTTTTTGATGCCATCCTCTCATATGGTTGGCATCTCGACTGTGGGAAGCTGAAGTTGAATATTCGCAAAATACCTCGGGGCGTTGATGAATGTCTCCAACCTGTGTTCTGCATTCTTGATTAGATATCATTATATATGTACCTTGCACTTGGTGTTTTTGTACATGTTCTGGACAGTGTTCAGTTATTATCAAGTCCTTAGTGGTATACAGTAGCCAATAGTTCTTGAAGATCCTCTGGATTTTCAAATTCTCAAATCGTATATTATGTTGTTGGCAGCTACTGTGGTCACTCTTGAGAACTAAGATGAAATGCTTTGTTTCCAGTAAAAAGGGTCACCACTTCTCTAACACTATAAGAAAGACAGCAGTATTAAGGTACTTTTTCACGCTATTTGCAGCATGGCTCTACATCCTAAACATTTCTACCTTCACGTACAGTCCACCATTAAACTTATGTTTGGGAATCAGTGTAATGAATAATAATATAACTTTAGACAGAATGTAAGCTTCATGCACCTTTGATTTAAACCGTTTAATTACGCCTAACTCAAGCCATAAAAATGTCCCCTTATAAACGCAAATCCCATCTAAATCCGTTAGGAGCTTCTCGATTCTTAATGAACGGACACGAGCGGGATCACGGGTCTAATTTATTATTGCACGTGTAACTTACGCTCACGAATATGTAAGTAGTAAGCAATTTACCTGCTTATTGCAATGTAAATATAGATTTCAGGCCTTTGAAAGATCAGTGCGATATTTTTGTCGACTTCGAAAAGGGGAAGGTTCTCATTTCGATCTTTATATATATATATTGAAGTTATACTTCTTTTGGCGCGTTTGAGAAAAATGATAAGAGTGAATTTTTTACGATGCGTACGCTCACCCGACACCTTAAAAACGGTCCCATGAAGTTGTTACTCGTACGATGCGCGCACACACCGAATCCTAAAAGCGACAAAATAATTAAAAATAATCGGATATATGACGACCCAAAAAAAATTTGTGACATATTTAATGAATTTTATATACAATTGACAAATGAAAATAATTTTAAATATAATGTTGACGAAATAAACAAGACTATAAATACTAATAATGAATATACAATATTCCTTAAACCTACTGATGCAATGGATATATTTCGGATAATTAACAGTCTTAAGAACACAAACGCAGTAGGGTTTGACAACATCACAACCACTGCAATAAAATTATCTGCACCATACATATGTCAACCGCTATGTTATTTGATTAATATGTCTTTTGAAGAAGGTACTTTTCCAAATATATTGAAAAACTCTATTGTAAGGCCACTTTTTAAGAAAGGCGACGCATCTGATATGAATAACTATAGGCCAGTGACGCTTATACCCATCTTGTCAAAAATCTTCGAAAAGACTATGTTGAAAAGACTTCAAGAATTTACAACAAGTCATCGTATTCTTAAAGATGAGCAATTTGGGTTTAAACAAAATAGTACAACTTCATTAGCATGTTTTAACTTGATTAAAATAGTCACCCAGGCTATAAATGATGGCTTACCAGTTGCGGCAGTCTTCCTGGACATGAGCAAGGCGTTTGATTTCGTGGACCACAAACTACTCTTATTCAAATTAGAAAAATATGGAATAAGAGGTAAAGCTAACGACTGGTTGAGAACTTACTTATGTGACAGACAACAATGCGTGGAAATATCTAAAATCCATAAAGGCAAAAAAGTTTTATATAGAAGTGACTATCAGTCAATTAATTTTGGCGTGCCACAAGGCAGTATATTGGGACCATTTTTATTCCTCATTTATATTAACGATCTCCCTAATATCACTCGCCATAACACAATCTTGTTTGCTGATGACACAACCGTTATCGTGAAATGTGAAAATGCAGATACATATGAACTAGAGGTAAATATGGCTATTAAAAACATAATAGACTGGCTTTATTGTAATAATTTACAAATTAATATTGATAAAACTAAAATGATCCAATTTCAAACATCTAAAAGACAACCATTGAATATTAATGTTAAATATAAGGATACAATCATCGAACAAGTAGTAAGTACAAAATTTCTGGGTATAATGTTGGATCAAAATTGCAACTGGAAAACTCATGTCGATTACATTTGTGACAAACTCGACAGATTTGTCTATGCAATAAAAAGATTACGAGTCACGGTATCAACTGAAGCTGCTCTATGTGCATATCACGGTTATGTTTCGTCCGTACTCTCATATGGTATTTTATTGTGGGGCAACTCGGTGGATATAAAAAAAGTGTTTAGAGTACAAAAGAAATGTGTGCGTGCAATCTATGGAGCCTGGTGTACGGATAGCTGTAAGCCTTTGTTTAAAAAGTACAATATCTTGACATTACCATGCTTGTACATTAAAGAAGTATGCCTATTTGTAAAACAACATCCGGAACACTTTGAAAAGCATATAGATGTAAGTAAACGAAATGTAGCTCCTAGAAATAAACATAAGCTCTATTTACCTCAATGCAGACTAGAATTGCATAAAAGGAATTCTTATGTAAATGCTATAAAGGTATATAACAAATTGCCCAACTCATTTAAAGAATTACCTTTAACCATGTTTAAAAAAAAGTTGACACAATGGTTAAAGGAAAAATGTTTTTACGACTTCAAGGAATTTATATCTTATTGCGAAAAATAAATCTGACTTCAGTAATATTGATACATATATAGGTAACTAACTAGTACGTTTATTACATGATCTAACATTTTAAAAATTTTCATTTAAATTGACATTACAATTATGACTGCAATTAATTAATTTGTTTTTAATAATTATAAATGTATACCTTACTAAATAATCTGACATTTTAAGATTTATCGTTTGAATTGACATGATAATTTTGACTTCAGATAATCAATTTGTTTTTAATAATTTCTATTTTCTGTTTAAATAATTTTTTGCATGTATACCTATAAAATGTTTGCACACCATATGTAGTGGTAGAATGTAAATGGGCCATTAGATATAATTTAAGATCATACTTTATTGTACACCTACATTCTGGCAAATAAAATTAATTTGAATTTGAATTTGAATTTGAATTTGACAATTTCAGTTGGTAATTGCCTGTCAACTGTCAAGTTTTCGTGAGAACTTGTAACTATATTCAAGGTAGTTATTCAAATATACATGAATCTATAAAACTTGTTTTATTTTAGTTATTTCTGTTTTGTTATGACAAAGAAGTATAACTTCTTACGTGCTTACATAAGTACACCCACTCCTTTTTTCTACTGACTTCAAAACGGAGACGGTACTCAATTCGACTGTGTTTTTTTATGTGTGTTATCATAACTTTCATTACTTTTTATTGGGTGAACCGATTTCGATGATTATTTTTTTTTTGAAAGCTGGTGCTTCACATATAGTCCCATATAAATTTGATCAAGGTCTGACCAATAGTTTTTGAGTTATTTTTAATAATTTATATTGAAGTCGGTTGTACAAAATTTTTAATTTAAATTTTTTTTCAAATTATGTTTTTAATAGGTTACATCTGTCTAAATTTGAAAAACAATTCCACCACTAAGGGTATACTAAATAGGTAATGAAATTTTTTATGTCACTAACTAGACGACATAATTCTTAATCTTGAAAATTTCTTATATTTACGCGAAGACTGCACATTAAATGAAACTAATTATTACGGATAGATAAGGATGATACGCGAGGCTATTGAAAGTAAAAGACATCCTAATTTTAATAGAGAAGAAGGATAGGTGTTGCCATCTGCTTGGGATCCTATTATTAACAAAATTAAATCCAAACCCAAGCATACCACTGCAAGACTTCAAGATACTATAAGCTCGTTCTGCGTAGATCGGACCAAAAATTAATATTCAAAAACTGAAGGTACCCGAGCTAACTATGACATCGGGACTTCAAACACCTCAATCTCTCCCGTGACCATGGGTGCTGTAAAGCACCCGAAGCGTCGGTAATTAATAATTTTAATTAAGCGGGATAGAATCCTTAAACATTAATTTCATTCAATGTGTAGTGTTCGCGTAAATATAAGAAATCACTAGTATGAGAAATATATATTTTTTGTTTTATTTCACGGAATTTATTTATTTTAAGAGTTAAAATTATGGAGAGTAATAAAAGCTAATAGTAAACTTTAACTTTTTTAAGCACAGCATTTCAACCCGATGTGAAATACTGATTGCATATTTATTTTACGAGTATGTTTTCCGTTTTAATGGTCAGCCAAGACTGAAATTAATGAAATTCAATATAAAGTTATTTAGAAATATCATAGATATAATTATTTGAACATTTAAAATGTGTTATTATGCATAAAGTTCAAATACATTTATTTCGAACATTACGAATTATAGTATAGTAAAGGCTTAATTTTTTTAAACCTTTAAATTTTTTAAAACCCTGTTTAAAATATTCAAAATTTATGAAATAGTGGAAATACAAGTCACTGATATTACAATAATAATAACATTTGTAATATAATAGAAAAATGGGTCAAAAATAAGTTAATTATGGTGTTCTTGTATTACTGGAGGATATTTTTTTAAACTTTTTTATGCAATATAGATTATTAATAATACTTACTGAAAGTTACCATTTTGTTTAATTACCACTGGTTCGGAAAAAAGCCTCTATCCTGGGAAGAACCAGCAGGAAACCCAGTGGGATTTTTTTTAAATAACTTATATAGCTTAAAATCATGTATGTTACTCACATTAACAACACAACAAATTAGAAATAGCTTGGTGGCGATCACCTCATTTACAGGGGTTAATATTATCCATAAATTCCTTAATATTATAATAACCGTTTTTATACAAACTTAGTTTAATAAAGTTTTTGAACTTTGAGCCGGTCAAATGTTGTATATTTTCTGGAATTTTGTTGTAAAAGCGTATACATCGCCCCAAGAATGAATTACTGACTCGATGAAGTCGAGTAACTGGTACTACTATGTCTGCTCCTAGTATTTACAGAATGAATATCACTTATTTTTATAAAAACACTTTTATTTTTGTGTACGTACATTACATTTTCATAAATGTATTGAGAGGCCAAAGTTAATATATTAATGTCAAGTTTTGAATATGGTTTGGAAGTAAATTAAATAATCGAACGCACATGCTATAACTATTTCTAGTAAAACAAATTGTGGCTGCCTGTGGTACAGATAACTTCCACGGGTACCTTCTCATATCACCACAATTATTATGTTGTTTTGTGAAGTGGTTAGCATTTTTTTGGTCAATATTAAAATTTCATATATATATAGGGAAGGTAATGGAAGAATTTTTAACTTTTTAAAGAAAGGTCTACATGATTCCATTTGACCGACACCGCATACAGATCGTATACATTTCTTCTGTAATATAAAGACACGAGAAATGTGTGTCGAATTTCCCCACAGAATCAATCCATACCTCAGTATAGAACCAACGTATCCATGGTATACCATCAGAGCTGTCTTAATGTTAGCTAATTTTGACAGACGATACAGAGCGAACACAAACCTATTAATCCTCTGGCATACAGTTTCAACGTGATTCTGCCATGTCAGTTCGGAATCAATCATAATACCGAGGAAGTACGCTGATGCGTCCATAGCAATGGGATCGTTACCATGGTGTATCGATAGTTGTTGGGGTTTACCATTTGTTGTAAAATTGTATTTCTATCTCGATCCAACCGGGTATTTTATAAACACTCAGACATATATTTGTTTCAAAAGAAAGGGATCAACTTCAGAGAACAGTCGATGAGTTTGACCAATGCAGCAAGGAATATGAGGAATTCCTCATATTAATTGCTGCATTGCAGTTACAGTTAAGTGAGGCTAATGAGCAGATTGTGCAATTAAAACATTACATAGATAACAAGAAAGCGTCTCAAACTCTGTTCAATGAGCTCTTAAAATGTGAATCTTCTAAATCTAAAGCATTGCAACTCTCCACAACAATCGATTTGACTGGTGATGATTATGTCATATCAAGAACAGCAGCAAGGACTACCTGCAGTAGAAGAAAATTAAAGAAATATATAAAAATTAATAAATATACTAGAAAAGTGCAAAAATTAATAAAAACTAAAATTACTGTAAAAATTATATAAATGTATGCAAAGAAAAGCAAGAACTAATTAATTAACTTAAAATATATTAAATTGAGGTGAAAAATATGAATCACTGCTATGAGACTGATATAGAGTGTATAAATTCAACAATTTTATCACTTAAAAGCTCTCTACAAATTGTATCAAATAAATATGCATCGGCTCAAGATGAGATAAAAGAACACATATTGGCCATAAATGATCTGGTAAAATCATGTAAATATAATGAGGACCGCTTTGACTCCTTAATAAAAAATCAGAGTGAGTATCAGCACTCCATAACGGGTTCATCGGGGACAATATGTGTAAATAACAAAGTAAACAGTAAGGCCTCATTATTTTCACCAACATTCTATGACAGTGCCATGACAAAGTATATAATCTTAAAAAACAATGTAAATATTAAAAAAAATTAAAGTTATTATGTATTGTGATGACATAGGCAAAAATTTTGGCTTGATGTTAAATAACTGTTTAAAAGGATATCTGATCAGTAATTATTGCATGCCTGGAGCATCCTTTAGTCATATAATGAATAATGTTTAAGCTAGTAAATTTTTTCCTAATAGCACATTAATAATTCTTGTTGGGAGAAGAGGCGATGTAAACAAAAATCAATTATTAAAATATATTGATAATCTAAATACTTTAAATGTACATATAATTATCTTGTTTACATTGCCTTACAAATTACCTGGTTGGCCGCAGGAAAATAAAATAAGATATGATTTAAATTTATTAATGAATAACTTTTCATGTAATAATAATTTAAACTTGACATTTAGTTGTTACAATTATAATAATAGAATTAATTTAATAGATATAAATAATTTAATTAAGAAATTTTTGACTAGAGATAGGTATTACCTATCTAAATATAATTTCTTATTGTTTATATATTAACGCAGCCAAGGACTTGGCTACACAGAAATCTGCTTCTTTTGAGCAGTATAATGACTTAATATGCAATTTGGAATCAGTTCCAAGTAATTTAAATTAGAAAATGAGACAATAGAGGTAATCTCTATCAGTTATAATAATTTAAATAATTTAGAATATGGCTTACAAATATTTAATTGTATGACTCCACAGAAAGATAATTAAAATTGTTTACACCTGGTGCATCAAAATATACAAGGCATGATAGGCAAAGAGCTAGAAATTGAGTTGTTCTTAAATAGCAACAATATTCATATTTTATGTATTACTGAACATTGGTTAAAAGCTTATAATTTAATGTTTAACTTCAGTAATCACCAGGTGGTCAGTTCTTTCAATAGAGATACGGTTTTAAGAGGTGTCTCCTTAATATTAGCTAGTAAATTATTATCATGTAAAGAAGGTAAAGATATTGTGAGCCTCTCTGTTGAGCGAACGTTAGAAATGCCATGTGTTGAGTTTCAGCACCTTATTGTTGTGAGCGTCTACAGACCCCCATGTTCTACATATGATACTTTTGAAAACATTATGGAGGAAGTTTTTGCTAAGCTTAATAAACAGAATAAATCTGTTGTAATATGTGGAGACTTTAATATCAATCTCAA